AATAAATGGTTTAGCCGGCACCTACACGTTTTGAGGGAGACAAAGTCACTTTTCTCGGAGTCACTGCGCCCAGGAAGCATTCCGTAAATAACTGGCCTTCCGTGTTTTATAGCATTTTATTTGACTGCACACTCTGTGATCCACGGCTGAAGCCTGGTCTTTCACTGTTCTGAATCCTAGGTGACAACCACTGTTAAAAAGAAGGCTTTAGACCTCTTTAAACATACGTATTTTGATTTTCAGCTGCTTTTTTATCATCCCGTTTTTGCCAAAGAGATGACAACAGACAAAAGAGTACTCACACTCCACCATAGCATTCTTCATTGAGTACCATTACAGTTTTTATAAAATAGTAAGTTGAAAGTTTCAGAATAAATTCTGTAAACTAAGACTGGTCACGTTTGTTCAGAAAGTATGAGAGCACACTGGAAAATTTTTCCTCTTAAGAAAACATACAAACATCAACAGGAGAGAAAATTAGCAAAGAGGAAACGTTACCAACATTTTTCTAGTGGTTAAATCCCTGCTCTTTTCTATGGATCTATGAGGGAATATGCATGACTCAAGCTGGCTATTCAAATATTATATTTCCTGTAAGTTTAATTTTACTGCAAGAGAAATGAAGGCACTGTCTGTTAGCAAGGAAAGTGATACAGTGGCCATGTCAAGTTAGAGGTGATGCTTGTCTCACTGTCATCACTCCAGGAGTAGATGTCGCCAACTTCCTGGCTGTTCAGCTGAATTGGGATACAAACTGAAAAAAATGCAACTTGTACTATAGATATTATATGTAGTGTAGCTAGTGACCTGTCTGATATTTCAGAAAACTAATAGGTCTAGTTATTGCAGAGAAAGCATAAACCAGCACAAAATCTGAAAAAAATCATTGAAGAACTAGATTTCTCAATTACCTAAGCATATTTATAACATCTTCTTACAAGCTTACCATCATAAACTCAAAACATTGATTAATCTTCACATCTCTGGTACATGTCAGCAAACCTCTTCACTGAAGTCTTCAGAAAGGTCATGAAAAGGCACAGAGCAGCCAGTGTGGAAGTTCACGTTAGCATGTAAGACTGACTGACACCCAAATGTGATTTTTTTATTCAAAGTAATAAAGATTATTCTAATAGAACTTTGTAATAACGTAAATATTACTGAACAAGATATTCTGGGGAGAGCAATGGAAACATTAATTAAAAAATAGGCACTAAGACTCAAACACAGCAGACCTAGTTTACAAGCAAAAACCAACACCCCAACATTATTTTGAGAGAACTACAGATATTGCAGTTCCACAATATCTGTTTGCAATTTCTGTATTTTCTTCAGTCAGAGCAAGGAGTATGATTAATGCCCTTCTACAGGCCAAAGAAGGGACAGAACCTTACAAGGACAGCAGTTTTCAGGAACATGACCAAACATGTGCATTTCCATGTCTGTAAGGACAGTGATCTCAACCTTGCACACCACCGTTATTTACAGGCAGGGAACTTCTCTCTGACTGCTTGGCAATTGCTTCCTTATGAGCTACTATTAAATGCCCAAGAGAATTAGATGCATCATAAAAAGAACTCAATGTTAAATGCAAGACTCCCAAGATATTATCTAAAAAATACCCCAAACCAAAAAACCTGTATACATAGGACCTGAAGTATTAAAATTGTCAAGAAAATCTGGTTTGCAAAACAGTCTTTTATTGTATCCGTGCCACACATACTAGTGAAAAATAACACTCCTAAAAAGGGAAAAGAAAAAGAATGCTACCTTTCCACAACATTTCTTTTAAATAAAACTTCAAGTACTCTTACATTAGTACAAAAAAAATTCCGATCTATTTGCCCCAACAGGCCACCACAACACACAGTAGATAAAACACAGTGGTTACAAATGTCTTCTTCTGTTATTCTGTGGCAAGGCAAATGGAGGAAATGTTTCTATGAAAAAATACTGTGTGCGTAGGAAATTGTCACAATTTTCTTCCACATGGATACAAATAATGATTATACTTGGATTTGAGGCCGTGGGGGCTTGAAATCATATAACAAAATAGAAAAATGGAAAACTAATATCCCCTACACCCTGTTTAAAAGGCAGGCACTACCAAGATTAAGGAGACTCCACAGTGTTGGTAGAGGATAATTACTGTACAAGCCATAGAGCTATAATTACCTTAAGACTAAAATAAAATGCTACCATCCTCCTAAGGCATAAACAATAATGTCTGCAAACAATATGTACACATCATACATATTTAAAACAAGACTTAATATAAACAATAATGAACAGTATATACATGTCTCAATTTTTCTTCACTGTCTTGAAATACAATTTAACTACACAAGTGATGCAGCAACATATATATAAATGTACTTGTAACTCTACAGTAAAGTTTAATTTTTAGTGCCTTCACAGCACATCAGTGTAAACAGTTTTACTTGGCTTTGTTTTATATTTTAAAACATTCCTTGTTGTATTTTCAATATTTAAAGCAATTTTCTAGTTCTTCCTTTTCACAGAAAACGAAGATTCTGAATGCTGTATAATCATAAATAATTCATAAAATTAAATACATTCACTAAAAAATAAACTACAAAGTAAAAAAAATGAAAAATAGATATTTATTGAAAGGGAAAAGAGAACCATTTCCCCAAGTAGAGCTCTGGTGGTTGAATATTCAGTGCGTTTTGATAAATTGCTATTGCACTATAACACCCCTTTCTTTGAAATTCTTTGGGTGTGCTTCCCTGTTCTACCTAAATTAGTTTGTTAAAACACACAAACCAATAACCAAGGGGCCATGGTTGCTGTAGGAGTGAAGCCTTTAAAACTAGTATCACAACTCCGTGATATTCTGAAGGAAAAAATTAGTTATGTATGTGCCTTGCACTTCCATGTAAATATAGTTCACATTGCTGGTCTTATCAGTCCTCATTTAAAAGAAGGAAAACAAAAAGAAAAGAAAAAAAAGAGTCCTAGTAGCTTCAGCTCACTTTGAAAATCTCTGTCCATTTTTTTTCAAAATACTTCCTCATGTTATGGCCAGCCCTGCCTATGTCAGAATCATCTTCATTGAAAGTTTCACAGTTGTCAAAAACAAGCCTGACATCCAGCGAAAATGCTTCAAGATTAGGGTACCTAAAAAGAAGAAAAAAGTGAATGATTTTTGGTACACAGAGAATCACAGAGGAAAAATATTTCAACTAAATGAGAAAATATTTAAGTCAGAATTTAAATTAGATTTTCTAACATGAAAATGAACATCAGTGAAAAGAAATACTCTCTTGTCACTGTTTTGTTATTTTCCTCACAAGTTTTGTAAGGTAGAATTTCATGCCTGTACTCGGAAACAAACTTTTAGAAAATGAATTCCTCCCTCTCTTCAACAGCTTTCTAGCTAAAATGCTATGGCTGTTTTTCATTTATGCATCTATTCTTGCATTCAGGGTCCTTTCAAAATGTTGAGTAGAGCTTAATTTATCTAAATGAGGAACAAATGTGTGCAAATAAAGGCTGCCCAAATAATCTTGTGATCACTGTCTTTGCTAATTCTTTTTATTATCCTGAATATACCCCTGAATGGCCCAAAGACTGTTCCAATATTCATAGGAATTATTAAAAATAATAGAAGTTACAAGTCTAGTGATATGAACACATGGGGAGCATTTAAATCTCATATTCATGGAAGGAAAAGTCTGAAGAGGTTAAAAAGCTTCTTGTGCTCTCCTAGGGAAGTTGCTGTGTGGAGCCAACAGACACTGCAGAGGGTCCATCTTCAGATTCATTAGAGCATAGGGATATTAACAAGGAGGGAAGGTACACAGAGGCATGTTGTGTGGTCTTCTCTTTTAAGAATCCATGCAGTTTAATTTTAGGACTATAAAATGATTAACCACCATTACAGAAGTGTTACCTACAACAGAGCAGGCATTTCCCTCCACAGCTACATCATTTACAGGGACTCCAGAAGCTTAAAGCCTACTCAGCTGGTTCTCTCTGACATGCAAAAACACTAAGGGGTCTCCATGAAAAAAGGTTCCTTTTGATTGTTTTGGTGCATTTGACCTGGCAGTTTTATTGTTTTTCAGCCAGTTCCTCACATTCTCCTATCCAACATGCTATTTCACTTGGATATGGCAAAGATAAAAGCATACAATGAAGAATTTTTATTTTGACTGTAAAAGTAATCACAGATATGTCAGAGCAGAACAATATAGTTTGGCTAATTTTAAACATGTATTGTATTTCAGTGTTTAAATATTTTTAAAATGTAAAGTACAATTTACAATAGGTTTACTTACTGTCCACTAGTTAGCTTGTCTCTAATGGTAGAAAAGTCCATAGGTTTTTTAATAACTTTCTTATAACCAGGAACAAGTTTCAAGTTTACAGGAAGTAAGAAAGGCCAGGCATCTTCATGAGTTTCCAATTCTGAGAGAATCATACTAGATAAGATAAGGTTTTGAATCAGTATTTTTATATTTTATTCATACATTCACAGTGTTTTCACTATTACATGAATTCCTATAAGCTGCCAAACTATTCATTTTACAAAGGGAAAACTTTATCCTGCGCCCTGTTGAAGGCTGAGAACAATGTACATAGAAGTAACTAATATAGCATTAAGTTCTCTCCAGGCGACCTATATGAGATGAAATTCAATGATCAACGTTCCAAAAGAAAACATGGTCCTGCAACTATGGTCCTCAGTGTAAACCATTTGCAAACCAGCTGCTAAACCTGACTTTGCAGGAGTGTGACAAGGCTGAGCAATGTCCCTTTGGACTGAGCAGCAATGCTACCACAGCAGATGGTTCACGTGTGCCCGTTTGAAGCGGACATTGCCCTCGATATACCCTTGAGAAAGGCGTCAGTGCCACCGCAGCTGGGGCTGGCCTTCGCTCTTCTCCCACGAGACACTCGTGTGTGCAGGTATACACACACACACACACACACACACACAGCGTGTACAGATACGTACATCTGTCAAAGAACAGCATTCCTGTTTCCCAGAACAGAGAGAAAAAGGATCAAGTACTACTTGTTTCAATAAGACTTACCCCTCAATTTACCATCTGACACTTTACCTGCATATAGCCAGGTCCTTGGAGTCTCCATCTCTCTTAGGTTTCTTAACAGCAGTGCAACTTTCTTGCTTTAACTGGCTTACACAAACATTTTCATCCATTTTTCTTTTTTTAGGGTCTGTTTTTCCTCTTTTTAAGGCAACGCTTGTAGTTGCAGAGTCTTCATCCTCTGTTTCCCCTGCTAATTTTCTGCTTCTCTTTTGTTCATTACTTTTTTTACCTTTAATTTGAAGTTTTTTTATCTTTAGGGTTTGACCACTTGCCTACAAGAGACAACTGAAATAAGTAATAACCTAGAAATTACAGAAACCTCTGTTATCACTGATAGACAATAATGAAGATCAGAAACAGAAGCACCAAAATAAATATTTAATATTAGAGATTATTCACTTTTTGCTCTTCTCTGAAGACAAATAAGACTGCAGAAATTCCTGGTACTCATGACCTAGGCTCTCAACTTGTGACAATACAAATGCACTTGGCATTCAAATTAGTACAACAATACCTCCTAACAATCAAGTTGGCATACATTTAGACAAACATTAGTCCAGTACTAAACGACTGATACAAACATACAAAAAAAAAACCACAACGTTTTTTCTCTGATTTTTCTTTTGAAACAGAACCTGACACATTGATCTGTTAACACTTAATGATGAAATTTCAAAGACAAATACTGAATAAATTCTTAAAAAGCAATGAAAATTTATGGTATTGGATAAGCATGAAAATTCTGACCTACTTACATTTAAAAGCCCATAGTTTAGAACAAATAAAACTATAGCCTTTACTGCTACTAAAATACAAGTTAAATAAAACTACTAATTTCATAATTTAATGAGAGCTCCCCATAAAATATACAGACCATTATTTTCACTGAAAAAAGCACTGGTAGACCTGTAACTCTACCACATATAATAAACCAGTCACTTGCTCCAGCCCCTTGGTGCTGACAGGAGTGTTACCTTTGCTATGCAGGCAGGACAGAACCAGTCCCCATCTGGGATAGTGCTGATCTTGGGCCTGTGGCAGTAGGTGTGACAGCCTTTATCACAGCCATCACAAAGGAGCAGCAGTTCCTCATTATCTCCCTTTCGACAAATTTGGCAGTACTGAAATTGATGAAAAATGGGTTTAATTCAATTTTCAAAATTTGAAACACATAAATGGTACCTAAATTACCCTTCTCCTTCAAACACATAAATTCACTCTCAAAAATACTTTCATTTTACTTCAGTCAGAATCTGCTAGTGCTCATATCCATAGAGGAATATACGGAGTATGTAAGGACCTAAATTAAAGGCTACATTTGGGGAACATGTTGGAAAAGCAATTTATTTATTATAAGACCATTATAATTATATAATTATTATATGTGTCCCTAGAGCACACAAAAAGATGCGCACTTTTTATAATTCATTAATGTGAGTGAGAAGTAAAGGTATACCTATTAAAACCTCTTGGCCCAAACATACTATCTCAGAAATCATCTCTTCATTTATGCCCATACTGTATATGAAAATTGTTATTTAATAAAGACAATTTATATTTTACAAGGGCATTCCCACATAATAATTGGTAGGATCTTATCCAAGGGCAACCATGAACAAACGCAGTAAAGTAAAACAAATGATCCTGGCACTTCCTAAAATTCACACTAGCTTAAAAATATCTAAAGGACTGCCAATTTTCTTAAATACATTGTGTGATTTTGCTAATTACCTTCTTTTTAGACGTATTTTTCAGGAACTTAAAAAATCTTCTAATATTTTCACCAAATACATGATTAAACATATTAAACATACACCATATGTTTAAACATACAATTTAAACATACAGCAGAATGTTTATTGGTATCACAGAATACTCTGAGTTGGAAGGAACGCATGAGGATCATCGAGTCCACCTCTTCAGTGAATGGCCCATGCAGGGACTGAATCAGTGACCTTGGTGTTATGAGCACCCTGCTCTAAGCAACTGTGTTGTAATTAAATGCAAAGAATATTTAAACCAAATTGAGAGGGATACGTTTTTTTTCTGATATAATTATTGAAGTATATCTAAATATGTTGAAATGTTCCAATGCCTTTTCACGTGCTCTTACCAAATTCATAAGCATTTTGCACTAAAGCTATTGCTTAAAACCAACAGTCATATAAACTCAAAAGTACAGCCTGACATTACAGCCTTTATTTAAATCATCCTTTAATTGTCCAGATGTAATTAGAATTTATATAGGAGTGACAGAAATTAAAAAATTAGGCAAAGGGCCACAAATGGAAGAATCACTTTTGCCACTATCTACACAACGCTGATAATACTCGATCACATCATAGTCACTATTGCTGTAGTAACAAGTTTTGTGCTCAGGAATTTGAGGTTCAGAGGTCCTTGAAATTTTGACATATCCACTTCGTGTGCTTTTTTTATATATGTAGTTGACACAGATTGACCTGCTGAGTGTACATGGAAACAGATATTTCAGCTTGTCTCTTCACACACTAATTTGTATGTTCAGTTGTGAGAACTCTGCATGCAAAGAAGCTGCATATTTGGAGCATCTCAACTTTCTGAAAAATGAAATCCCTAATGAAGGATACATGATGTTGAACCTCCATAAAACTTGTGTCAAGGGTGAGGTTAGAAACACTCCATTAGAACCAGTATATTTCATCAGATGGAGCAAGATGACTTTTACCTCTATGCCATCATCAAAGAATAATTACCATCTTAAATAACGTAACCATTTACAAGAGCTTTCTATCTTAGCAAGTTCAGGATGCTGAATTTGGCAATCAAGGGACAATCTTTTCCATTAGGCTTATTCATCTGTGCACAATGTACAGTTTAACTTTGTGAGGTTTTATGTGAAGTAATAAGAAATACATTAACTTAAAATGTCTGAAGTTGGAACACAAGATACAGCAAAAACAGTTTAGATACTTACAACTTTCATAATGGATTTTTCCCATGCTATTGATTTCTGTAACTGCTGAATGCACAGAGCTACCTGAGCAGCACTGCGTGCTTCTGACAGTGCCCTTCTCCACACCCTTAGCCCTGGAGCAATATCCTCTTCAGTTCTGCATTAAAATACAAGCAAATTAAGTAGGTCACACCTGTGTTTGTTCATGTTTAAATGTGAGACAATCATTATCACACCGAAAGCCAAGCAATGACAAAACATACACAGCCAATAAGTATAAGGTTTAAGCAACTAAATTTGATGTAGTGCACAGACTGTGGCTACGTGCCTCAAAGCTTAGTCACAACCAGTTAAATGTAAGATAACTTTGCAAGAATATTAACAAACATAACAAAAAATTCTTTACAAAGCACCATGCAGAATAAGATGATCCATATGGATCACAGACATACAAGAAAGTACATAGATAACAGGCAATAAGAAAATAGGCTCCAATTAGCAAAGAAGCACAATAATTTTTCAAGTTAATCTCAATAACCTACCCGTCACCATCACCACTAATAGATGGTGCAGGAGCAGGGACAGTAACTGTGCCCACATTATCCAGTTTGATCTGAATGGTGGTACTTAAGGGGCTCTTCAGATACCTTCGCTCTATGTTCCGCTCCAAGTCAGCGAGCCTGGTTACAGCTATATCTAGAGGGTTGTCACTCCTCCGCTCTAGGGAGCTGGCACTGCCTTCTCCGCCTCCAGCACAATCCCCATCGTGCTTCTTGTGCAATCTAGTAATTGACTTATGTTCACGATATACCAAGTCGTCTCTCTCTGATGCAGGTTCAGGACACAGCCAACCCTATGTCAATAGAAAGGTTTGGGCATTTATTGGTTGCTGTTAACTCAGTGTGTAATCAGAGGAACTGTTTTATGGAATCAAACTAAGTAATTGAAGCGCTGTTTCCAGTAGATCTTGGTTACTTGTAATCCATCTGTAGAGACATTTTCCAAAATATCCAGAGAACTAAAACAATTAATCAAGAAACACAAGCATTACTGAACTTTCTGAAGGGACCTTTCTGCAACACTCTGCATTTTTACCCCCTTGTGAAGTATCTTGTTCTCTTGGCTGAAACATCAGAACAGGTCTACCTGTTCATCAGGCTCAGAAGGCAGTATCAGGACACAGGAAATTAACATCCATCTCATGCCAAAAACTAGATCCCAAACACTGCACCTGTACTACAGCCAAACATATGCAATTTGATAACCTTACACCCACCTTGGAAAATTTCAAAATCCAGAGAATTCTTAACTGTATCACACTCATAACCATTACATGTTCTCCATGGCTCTACAACACCCAAGCAAATTATTCTGATGTACTTGTAGACATTTCTGAAAGCATTAACAGCAAAAATCACACAACCCAGGCAGAACTGTGGCAACCTCCCCAAGAGTTAAGCAGTCTCTGTGAAATACGATCTTTGCATTCAGAGAAGGTTAACAAGATGTACATGGAACTGCACTGCAGGAGAACATTCTCCAGGAACTGCCAATCTGAGCATCTCCAGCTGAAGACTGAACTGCAATAAAATGTTTCAAACACAAATCTCCATGATACTGCACAGTGTATCTATTTCATTTGTAGGCAATTAGGATGGAATAAGAAGGCACTTACCAATACACAAAGACTGCTATCTGCTTTAAATTCACACCACTTATTTTAAAGAGACATTTTACTGAAAGTTGGTTTTACCTTAACTTGTAAACTAGCTGATGCAACTCTCCTCTCTAGATCTTCCACCTGCTGAAGAACAGCAAGATCCATCTCCATAGCTTGCTCTTCTACTGACCAGTTTTCCACAACATCCCGAGTTACCTGGTTATCTTCATTTTCATTGATATCAATAATTGCAACTGTATTTGAGAATCACATTTTTATTATTTTAATTAACATTTCAATTGCACTGGTAAATTCAAGCTGATTTACCCTTCACTCCAGTCAAATGCTGAAAAACTGTTGTAAAAGTATACTATTCTTAAAATACCCAATATGAACAACAAATTCTGTATGCTTTCAAACTTGGAATTTAAGGGCAGGAAAGGGAAGGAAAGGCCAAGTGTTACAGGGACGGAAAGAGCTTCAGAAGGTTACCCAAGCTTAAGAAAGTTACTTATATCACGAGAACTATTTACATTACATGGCATTTCTCTAATACAGTAAGTTTCCAGAACAGGGCTGGTGAAAACACAGCTACAGATGAGGAGACCTTTAACTTTTTTCTCCAACCACTACTTTAACTCTCCTGCTAAACATACCCCAGGAGAGTTCTATATCTGTTGTCTGGTGCCCCAACACCATGTGTAACAAATGTAAACTACATACCATCCTTGTTTTTGATGCAGGCCAGAGTGATATAATCCATGTGTTTCTGTATCTGCTTTTGTAAGGCCTTTTCTCTTATTCCCCTGAGATGCAGCACTTTAAGCAAAGATTTTAGGTCCTCTGGATCAGTAATCCTCCACCATCCATACTGCATTTCTAAATCAAGACAAGCACATGAACACTTTGCAGGTGCTTTTTTTATGTGATCACACATGATCTGATTAGAAAATCAATAGGCAAATTATTAAAACAATTGTAACATGATAGAGACACTGCAGAAATTATCACCTTACTGTTGCATTACACTTACCTTCTGGTATAGGCTTTGGGTTAGGATAATCTACAGGTTTGGCTACTTCAGCTGCTGTAGAGGGGGCAGAAGCTATTTTTTCAGCTTGTAGTGCTGGTGATTCACTTTTACTTGCAGGAACACTAGATGCCAAGAATGAGTTACCATTCACTTCTGATAATCCTAGCCCTGATCCAAGAGCAGGTAAAGGAGATGGAAATGGAACATTTGAAGTAAGAACTCCTGTAGGCCATCCACAAAACTGAAGTCCCATTATAGGTAGTCCTGTCTTCATCTGCTGGAAAGCACAACTACCATTACTATAACCAAGAAACCTGAATTATTATTAGGATGCTATTTGTCAAACAATACTCAAAACACAAAGAAAGCCTTTACTCAATACTTCAGTTAGTTTCAGAAAAACTCATGTAACACTGACATGTAAAACTTATTAGGGCCCTGTTAATGCTAAAAAACAATAGCCTCTAAAGGTAGGGTTTGGTGTGTTACACTTCTAAAAACTAGTTTGTATTTACTTGCTTTTCATTTAATACCAGTACCACTCTAAAAGCCAAATTAATTACTGAAATGCACATACAAAGTATCATACATTGGCTTACTTGATACATCATAATCTAGTATTATAAAATTTCTGTATTTACTTACTAACATTTAGAAATAAAAAAAAAAATTTAAAATGCAGATATAATGATTGTAGGTCTGTGAAATAATTTGTATGAACAGACATCCTGCCCAAATAAACTCTGCAAATTCAAGCTATTCAAAAATTAATTTATTTACCTGCAGCGGTGACAATGCAAAAGGACTTAATCCCATTGGACTCTGTGCAGAGGCTGAGCCCAGGAGAGGAGATGGAACAGGTGAGGGTGAGTTTGATGGTGGATGTGACTGAGGAGTGAGGGGAGCTGCAGTGGCTGGGGTGTCCACATGGGTGACTGACGTGTCATCACAGGGCACCCGCGGTAACAGGCTGAACCACTGCCTGCTTTTCTCGGTAAGAGTCTTTAACAACTGATCATTTGGAATCAGTGGAGAACTGTAAAACTTTCCTGTCCCACTGGCATTAGGACTGAAAAGATTATTAGACTCGGGCTTCTCGACGGAGCTTTGTGATGCAGGGGGTTGAAGACTGCAGAGAGAGTTTTTTGAGTTACTCGGGTAAGATAATGCGCAGCCATTTGCTGCACTGCCATTGGGTTTTGGGGACATAGTATCAGACTCAGGTGGCATTTTTGCTACCTCTAACAGTTTGCTTAATTTTGAAAATGACCCTGGCTTTTGTAAAAACAGGTTAGTGCTGTCCTTTTCTTTCAGATTTTCCTTTTGCTCACAGTGAGTTGTAGTTAAGCAATGCAATTTTTCTTCTGATTCAAATTCTTCTTCTTTGATGTTCATACTTTCTTCTTTTTTTAATTTCTCTTTTTCTTTTGCAATTTCTTCTAGACCTAAAAAGGTGCAAGAAACACAGATTACCTGTAACAGATCAATTATTTTACGAACTTCTTATAATCCTAGTTTGAATTACAAATAACTTTGGTTTTGGGTCAACACATGTTAGATTCCCGTGTCTTTGCTGTTGTTGCTGTTAATGAAATCCCTTCTCGCTTTACAGCACACTTTGCCAAAGGAGCTAGCTCCTAGGCATACAGATTTAAACACGACTAAACACCTCTAGGAAAAATCCCCTCAACATGCCTAACACACTACTGAATTCATCCAGTACTACATCAGAAGCAGTTTGCCAGTGCAAAGTCTGTGAACGGGACAAATTTTTGCCAACTTTCTTTATGCAGAACTCTGCATGCCTCATCGAGAAGCTTCTCAGGTGATATCAAGAGAGTGCAGTGTTTTCACTCCTAAGTTTATTTTTGCAACTGATTGTTTCAATAAACACACAGCCAATTATGAAACAGAGAACCAAAATTCCTGTTACAAAAATATTCCCCAAATACCAAAATAACATTAAACATTTTACTTCTTTCAATACAAATCATTAACAACTTTAACTGTGCAACAATATCAACAGTCTATGACGTTTAATTCTCTTTCAAGAGCCACGCAGCATGACTGGAACTCCACACAACTAAGCAGACAGCTAACATCTAATCAATTTAAAATACAGCAAGCAGAAGCTGATTAAAAATAAAACAAGTTTATTCAAACATAGGAGGTGCAAAAAATCTGAAAATCTAGCTTTTATGAAAGGAAAAGACTTTTTTTTCTCTGCACAACTAGTCTTTCTTAACTATTTCTCTTCTACCCTTATACTGACTGCTAACTCAGACAAAAGGTCTTTAAAAGTATAAAATGCTTTTAAATAATGAACTGATTGCATAAGGGGAAGGAGGTAGAAAATCCAACTCCTTATTTTATCAGATACCATAGTCACAAATAAACACGCAGCTTACAGTTCATGGCAAGTGCATCTACAAATATTTACTTGCTCCTGAAAAATGGTAATTTCTATGAAGAAGTTACATCCCTTCTTATTAAAACTCCAAAATGTCTTCACAGTTATTGTCTGTATCAAGATACAAACAATTAAGGTACCAGCATAAAACTCCAAAATGTGTTCATAGTTATTGTCTGTATCAAAATATAAACAATTTAGGTATCAGCATAAACATGAAAATGACTAAATGACTACACAAAAGGGATAGAGAAGTTTTGTTTAAATGGACAGACCATTCAAGACTTTATGTCTCCTATTGCCAAGATTTAGGGTTAGGGTTACAGAATTAGAAATAGATAAAGTGTAGAATTTCCATAAAGATATTTTCCTTGTTATTTTTTGAAGGAAAAAATGTGAGAGAAATGAGGTTTTGGTTCACCTATATGAAAAGTAGAAAGGATTTCTCTGTGGCCAAAATGACGGTTTATGTTTAAAAATTCCAATACCAACAAAAAAGTCAGGTTAATACAAAATTTCTGCATCTATCCAATTAAAAGGGTGTGAAAAATTCAACCACAGTTAATATATAACTGTCACAAGCCCAAAATTACATTTTAGTTTTAGCAAAGTGATTTCAGCAATTGCTGGCTAAAGAAACATTGATTGCTAAAATGTAGACACTAAATCATGTCGTTTATTAGGAAACAAGATACTTCACTGCATGAAAGTAATTGTCATATTTTTGCAGCCATCTATCCTATTTTCATGCACAGAACAGTCTGTGCATTTGCAGAAAATCTGAGGATGAAAATTTTTTCTGCATTCTATGGTTCCCCTGATTTTCCTACACAGAGATCATTGCCATAGGGAAAGGTGAAATAGTTCAGAATCAAGAAACTTTGCAGGTAGGTAAAAGCTTAACATGTGGAAGTATAACAACTGAAAACTTCCAAAATACCAATCCTTGTTTTGTATTACCTGATCTTTCATAACCAGAAAGAGATACCAGAGAACCACATGAGGGGTGAGTTCTATTGACAGCAGCCTGAGGCCATCTGGCTGAGGGTGAAGACCTTGCTGCCAGCACCCCCAGAGATGGGCACGATGTCTTGGCCTTGCATGCCTGTGGTGCCACCATTGCTTTATGGCTCTTACCTTCACCACTCTCCATGCCTTCTACAAAGATCCCACCACACTGGGGCAGGATCCAGTACCGGCGCCTGTAACGGTCCTGACCAAACATCATCGAACGCAAACAGTGGGAAGCTTCAAATAACTTCTTTCTGTACTGGCTTTGTTGCTATTTAAAAAAGGGAGAGCATTATAAATCGGTGGGTGGTTAAAAAAAAATCTCATTATTACAGAAAACATCTGGCTGCCAGACTGAACAGAAGTTCAGGGGTCAGACAAGGAGGCTCTCTCAGAGACTCGGGATAGTGGTGTGTCTGTGTGTATCTGTGGGATATTCTACTCGCAATCACTGCCTTGACTATTTTACTTACAAAACTTCCTTTAAAAAAAATCCATTAAAGTACTCCCTGACTCTAAAAACATACTGCAATGGTGCACCTTGTCTTTTTATCCCTGACTCTCAAAAAGCAGTGGATTAAATAAAAATATCATTGCAGGAGAACAGCTGAAATCCTAATAATTACACAGCATCAGCCAGTGGTAAACAGAGCCCTGAAGACAGATGATAATGCAACTGTTGATGGGAGACTAGTGAGATATTTTAACTGTTCATAAAAGAATGACAACAACAATACACAAAAATAAACTCTGTCTTTGGACATAACACAGCTCTTTTGAGGGGGACCAACAAGAACTTCAGATAGTTTATTCAGTTCTTGTTCTGCTAAATTGACACTGATGGGACTCAGCTGGAATCCTGGACTGCTAATTTACTGCAATTTGGAACATGAGGGAAACCAACACATGAAGTCTTAAATGACAAATAGGAACAATAAAAATATGGGTCATGAGTACCCCTAAATACAACATTATAACTTTCTCATTTACACTGCTCTTCCAATTCTATTGCTGCTTCTTTCAAAATGTGAAGCCCAGACAGTTCTGTATTGGCTTGGAGCACAATGGCAGAAATCAGCATGAAAAGGAGGGCATGAGAAAAACAATTCATTGTATAAGTGAAGCCATTGCTTCTCATATACAAAATTTGTCATCACTTTCTAAGATCAACAAACAGGAATATGTGAAGTAGATCTGGATAAAAATTACATTATTCTCTGAAGTGCAAATATATTATCAACTATTACTATTAACTGCCTTTTGAGTGACCTCTACTTAGTGCCACCGGACAAAACTCACAGTTCAGGTGTCACGAACTGGAGTGTTATTCATACTTTCACAAAACAAGAGTAGACACTTATTTCAATTTATATTAACTTGGAGCATTGAAATTTACATTTAATATAGTAACTCATAACACCCAGTGATCACATTTGTAGTAGAAAAAAAGAGTAATGATCTCTCACCTTTGTCAGTTTTTCAATCTGTTTCTCTAATTCTTCAACACTTGCTGTCTGATCCCCATCATCCTATAATAACCAAATATACTGTCACACCATATTTATTACAGGATAAAATCATACTACTATGTCTTATCATTATTACAGAAAAAAGATGTAACAGAAAATGAGAGGAAAATACTAAAGAGAAAAAATAAGTTCAAATTGTGTGCTTGTGCAATATATTTCACTAGCAACAACACAATTAAAAAGAGGATACACCTTGAATATTTTGAAACCACCCAGACATGGACAAAGGAGAAAGCTCGCGTTTGCTGAAAACTGGAAGTAAATCAGTTTGTGCATGAACACAATACTACAGAATTTAATCTTAGTTTCTATGAAGCTTTTTAGATACTCAAAATAATTTTAAGTGTTTCTCATGCATGAAATAATGGTATCCCTTAAAATCCTATCGGTAAGTCTTTGGTCAGTCCACATTTGCATTTTATTTCAATGTCTATGTGAAATTGTAGACATTGAAATTATAACACTTCCATTAAAAACCAGCTCAACAAAGTAAAAAATCTTTCATTGATACTTCCTGTATTATATCTGACACTGACAAATAAAATTTATCATCTTGTGATCAAATAAAGTCAGGCAGTGATTATGTGGGGGAAGTTGTGGAAAAAAATGCACAAGAAGATCACTCAAGGTACAAACCAGACAATACTAAAGGCAATTGCATTGTTCATTTTTTAGTTAACAAAATAATAAAAACTAATCAAAATTTAAAACCACTAGAGGTAAGTTATTCTTCCCTCCTTTTTATGGCAACATTTTTGGGAAACAGTGCCATATTACAGAAAAACAGAAGGAAAACAAGTCGTAGCTTATTTGCAAATAAAGTTTCACTATACTGACAATTCCCCACCTCATCCTCACAAACTTCTGCCTTTTTTCCTTTTTTATCATCTTTGTCCTCTTCATCCTCATCATCCTCATCTGCCTGGTCATCACTGTCATCGTCGTCGTCGTCGTCGTAGTCGCTGTCCCCTCCCTTCCGCCGGCGCTTGCGGCCGGGCGCGGGCGTCTCCAGGGAATGGGGCTCCTCGCCCCCGTCCCCGCTGCCCGCAGCATCTCTTTTACCAGTTTTCTTGGCATGAATGATTCTAAGCCTTGGAACACACGAGAAAGCGTGAAATGATGGATTATGGCTGTAGCATAAACATACCTCTCTTCCTATGAGATTGAAATAAAATCATACATTTCAGATTTGAATTAGAGCTTCTGATCTACCATGACACTGCATTTTCTCAATATTTACTGTCACTAGTCAACAAGAAAAACTGATGTTATAAAATCCTTACTACTCATGGTTCCATCCTGAATAGACTTTGTTTCTCCCAGGTCAATTTTACCGTGTAACTGTTCAGAAGAAATGAAACACAGGAGGGATTTCGAGAAGTCAGGAAAGACGATATAGAAGAAAGAACCATTTCAACTTCTTTATCTTTTATTTAATGCATTTAAGAACATGATGACAAAATACTTGTGTATATTGTGTATATTGTCAGGGAGAAAAAAGCAAAAATACTCACTTGGAAGTATGAAATTATATACACTGTATGGCAACAGCAGGTTGATTTGATTTTTTTTTAAATTTTTTTATTTTTAGATTTTTATGAACTTTAAATATTATTTGACCTCTGTCCTTTAGCTGAGCTTTTTATTCTAAGATACACTTTTTTTTCCTGGGGAATTTTAGTTACCTCAACAACTAAAGATTACTCAAACTGTCATTTTTCCTTTTATGAAAGAAAAGGGAAACTTACATACCAGTTATTATGGTTGTAGTAGACCTCCTTCTTCTACAAAACCCCTATAAGACAAGATTCCACACAGCAAAAATTACAGTTCCACCTATCAGGGAGCTTGCAGGCAAACATGCTGAACCACAGGAGGTGTATATAGCCAGGCTGAACCAGTCACTTATCACGCAGACCAAAAACGCAACTGACTTAGAAGAGATTCATAAACGTGTAGAAAAGACAAAGATTTTTAAAGAGATGACTGAAGAAGGTAGGATGGGAAAAGCAGAACAGTAACGACAAACACAATTACCAGGACGTAATTTTTCCTTGTCGCACTCCTCTCTCTTCCCATCCTACAGAACAATATTCCATACAGCAAGTAGCTACAAGTACAATGATGCTGTCCAAGTACTCGTTCCAGGGAATATTGACAAATGAACCAGCCTTCTAAAACACTGATAACCAGAGCCAGTTCTCAACAGCACAAACTGAAATGAAGGTGTCACTCTTCAACTGGGAGCAGCGCTTCTTTTAGAAAAAGACTGTTAGCCAAGAAATCATCAAAGGGACTTGAAAACTGCTGGGCTTTGGTTTCTTGGCATGGTTTTGTTATTGCTGTTGTTTTGGGTTGGGTTTTTATGCACTAGTTACTCCACTGGAGAATTTATAAAGTTTTATACATTTATTTTTTCCATATCAAGTGGATGTTTGTCTGTTTTAGTGATTTAAAATATGTTTAAAAAAATCTCAAGCCTTTTAGTGAATTTGGAAGCAAATAACATTTTCAGGTATTGTGCAAAAACCCTCAGTCTCACTGCGCATCAATACCACTCAGGCTACTGATTAAGTTTTTTAGAAAACTAATTTCCTTTTCAAGAGGATAACTTCAAGCTTCTTCACGTAGACTGGAAATTCCTGCCAATAAACAGGAATTAACTATCAAAATCACTAGTTAATGACTGGATTATCTGCTGCAGTGCTGGATGATTTCAGAGACAATTTACATACACTAAGATAATCTTGAAGACAACTCAGTAATAAAGCTGGCAAGCGAATGTTCCATGACCTGCCAACACCTCTTTCATATACCTAAAAGAAACCAGAAGAAACAAAAAAGGCTACTTTTGCTGAAAACAAAAATAAAGATGTAATGTTGTCAAGCACTAAAGGAAGCTTGCACAACACTGCAAATTATCAAGCATGCAAATGAACCAAAGATGCTCTTCTTTGATAGCACCACAAGCAGAAGGCAACAGTCCCTACTCAAAGCAGTGCAGAGGCAGAAACCAATGCCAGCATAACTTTAAAAACATACAGTTATTTCAAGAAGCAGCATGATTTTCTGTTGTTGCCTAGACATATGGCTCACTGAGAGAAGAAAACCCTCACTTAGGAAACTGTTCTGTCTTTCTCAATTTCAGGTATGGACCAAACCTGCATCTGCAACTGCTGAGAGAATCATGAAGTCTACTGACCTGTAAAAAGAGTGGGTGGCCCATCAGAGAACCAGATGATTGACTTAAGCCTGCTCTAATCTCATTTATAATGCTAACTAGATCACAGAAGGAAAATTCACCTTCTGACTTAGTGTTCATGCCTCCCCCATAATTTTTGCATGTATGTAGTAGGTAGTACCAAGGCAAAGAAATTCTGAACACTGTACTTTTCACGTACTTCACCTTGCGTCTCAAAAAATTAAAGTTTGGTAAAAAAAGCATTAGCATCTCCTACCTAAACTCAGGGTGCAATTTCTCCCCTTAGTGATGCTGGTTTTCATATACCATCATCATTTAGAGTTGAAATGGTTTCATTCAACAGAAATTAACTTACACAGAGCATACCAAAACACTGGCATGTGAAAAGAACACTGCTGCAGTGAAAAACTCAAGTCCTTTATAAAAACAAATTATTATAATAAACAAATTATTAAACCAAATTATTATTATCTAATTCTTTAAGAGGCAGTATTTCATTTTTATTCTGTTTTATGTTAATCTCGCTACAAAAGAGATGCCACAGAGAAGACATGTAATAGAGAAGGAGATGCTGAGACTTTGATTATCTAGTATTAGAAAAAAAACACAGAATCATCTCAGGTGAGAGTCTGACCACAGCTGTCACATAGACAGCGCAAAGAAAGATGACTTGATCATATGAGATAGGCACCTTTACAAAAAAAGGGATTAGTACCAAGATTCACAGCAAAATGTGATAGAGAAGGAATTAGATGCAACCTCTCATTGTAGATCAGCTAAGCAGAAACAGTCCAGGCAGTTCAGAACTCAAATTTCCAACCATCTACATTACACTTATTAAGATCCTTGAGGGAAGGAGGAGAAAAGGAGGGAAGAGTGGGGAAAGAGGTGAGAGGCAAAGCATCCCTTAAAACAAAATACAGTGATTCTGTTTTCCAACATGGGATTTTACTGTTGCTTATTTACATGTCAAGAACAGGCTTTTGCATTTATTTTTGCCCTCCTCCCCAGCTTATGTCCTTAAAAAATGAGAACATACCCACAAAAATTAAAACCTCCTTCATCGAACACGTGATGCAGATAGAATCTTTTCTCATCCCCCTTGAATATACTTGTAGCCAACCTGGACACAGTGGTTTGAAGATTAATGACAGCAAACACTGGCCAAACAGGCTGAGAGTAAATAAATCCATTCCTCAGCCTCCGTTACCCATCCCCTACACGCTTCCCGCAGGAGGGGCACGTGCTGAGGGCACATAAAGGTCTGCAGGCATGGGAAAAGAGGTTACAGCTCTTGATCTCACAGCGAGCACTCAACTGACCAGTTATTGCCGTGCAAAACTCCTTGGGACTAGGATGCTTAAAAATTAGATCAAGATGAGAACAGATGGGGAAGATAACGTGTAAGAATGAAGTCTGGAAGCAGAAAAAAACTGCAAAAAAGAAGACTGATGTGTACAGATTTCATTTCAGAGAAGCCCCAGAACAGTTGTAAGGGTTTATGGAAAACACAATTGACATCATAAAGAAGAAAATATTGTTTAAAATTGATTGAAGAAGAGTCTTCTAGAACCTTCTTGGAATTCATCAGAAAAAGTGGAAAACTCAAAAATTTTGAATCAAATTTGAGAGAGGTGAATCAAGCTCACTGAATTCAAAGAAGCAGAAGAGCAACATTTCTAAGCTCTGCTGCAGTACTTGCACTCAAAAATAGGGAGAGCACCACTGGACCCCAAATTCCACACACGAGGCAAAATTCCAAGAAATGGAAACATTATTGTAGCAAGGAGGATGAGCTTGGGACTTCAGAGTATGATGCTCACTACTTGACAGGGAAGAAATGAGAGATTATAAGGAAAAGGGAAGATCCTACATCTACAAGTACTTACAGTTTGATGGAGGGAGAGAAAGACTAAGCAGGCCCTAAGAAGACAAGAACAGGGAAGGGTCCCATTTGCTAATGGTAAATTGGCTACATCAGAACTTCATAAACACTTCTTAAACCATATCCCATAGAGGGGACACAGATGAAGACAGGAAAAAAGTAACTGGGTTAACCTAAAGGTTAAAATACATTAACTCTGTGCAGACTGGGATTTGTAGTGTTAGTAGAAAATGTCTTTTTATTGGTCTAATTTTTTCATCTACCTCCCTCTTGTCCTTCTTCTTTACTTCTTTCCTTCTTCCTTCTGAGATACATTAAAGGGAAAAAATGGAGACATAAGATTAGAAATGGAAGTACCTAAAGCAAGGACTAAGAAAGGATTTACCGTTCCTAGCAAGAGGTAAAGATGACAAAGGAGAAAAAAAAGCAGAGTCTGGCTATGCGTTTTTACCCCCTGTGATTCATTAACTTTACGCCGTCCAGCTTCCTGATAGTTGGAGCCAGTATGGTTGCTGTATGGAATTTTGTCTTGTAGGATGGGAGAACAGTGAATATGAAACTGACAACCTTTAAGAAGTTCAAATTTTACCTTAAACAGAAATATAAGAAATATAAAAAATATCTCAAAGCTTGCATTCTACATATGATCCCTAGCTATAGGGAACGACGTGACATTGACAGATGAGGAACACTAAGATAACATAAATTAGCAAAATTCAATTGGCAATTGTTGTATGAAAATCACATTGTCTTAAAATGCCTTTCAGAATGAACACTGGAAATTTTGGTAGGTCCAAATAAACTTTGATTATGTCAATAACAATTGTATGGCTCCTTTAATATTCCAATTAAAAGTTTTTTGTTTCCTCCAAAGAATACAAAATTAGACTTGACTTTGCTCCAAATCTGAGTGACACTAACCCTCTGAATCTCATGCATCTTTAATAGACTGTAAAAGACTGGTGTTGCAACATCCTAAACCCACATCTGTCTTAATTAAGCAGTTTGATTATACATCCTAAACCCACATCTGTCTTAATTAAGCAGTTTGATTATTAATATCTTGGTAAACCTGTAACTTCATCGGCTGATTTTATGCTTAGAACCAATTCCCTATAGAGCAGTGTATGTGAGCAAAGGCTAAAAAGCAAAATATTGTAATATTTAAGGAAATGAAACTTACTTCCGAAGTTTGCCTTCAACCATCCATTTATCTCTCCTTAAGTTTGACATATAATCAATGTTTTTATCAATTTCACTGTCAAAGATGAAAATAATCCATTAACCGTGAACTTACGTATCTTTTTTCTGATAGACATTACATATAGACACTTTTCCCTCAAATAACTATCTTTTGAGAAATCCTTAAATTTCAAAATAAACAATTTTAAATATAGGAAATCACAATACAAAGAATGCCAATGTAGCACACTGCTGTACTTATGTCAGTCTTTATCCCCAATACCACTCAGTTTTCTTTCCACAAGGAGCATGGCACTCAACATTTCTTTTCATAGCTCTAGTTCAGTGTCAAGCCTCCAAATGTCTTTGCCACAAAGCACGTAGCCCTGTGATGAAAAAACAGTTACCACTGGTACATCTGAAGTATTCTACCTAGGATCCCTGGGACCTACAATCCAACATCCACTTTTGGCTGCAGAAACTGAAGACCCAAAGAGAGGGCTTTGGCGCAGCCACCATCTGCGTGCCCGTGTCCGAGACACCCTGGCCTCAGCAATTCACCACATTACCGTTGTTTCTATTATCAAAATATAGAAACTCAAGTTCTAAGTGATCATTTCTACAAACAGGACCTGAGTCATCTGCAACAAGAGGACGTTTCTTTCTATGATGAATTTGAAGAATACACATGAACTTTCTTGAACAGCTGATGCACAGCACTTGCACTGCCCACTTCTGCTACTTTCTAACTTTGGAAAACCTGAAGCATCTCTTCCATTCCTGCTTTACTTGACCCTGATTAGCTTTTGCAGCACAGGGTACCAAACCCAGCAGAATACACCAAGAAACAAAGCAGCACTCAATTAGGTCATGAAACACTTCCGCACAGACAGTCTGTGGAAGAACAGGCACCCCAGAAAAAGGCATTTCCTAACTTTTTGTTCCACATTGGTGGGTTTTGACAAGTTGTTGAACATAAGGGGGATTTAAAATTATGAAATACTGTACACTACTGACCACAAATGCAACATATACACTTTCTTGAATTGCTACAATGATCCTTGCCACCTCACCTTATGACCCTACTTAAAGAAACATCTTCAAAACATCTTCAAAAACAAAAGGAAAAAAGGGAAAATAGTGTACTGCAGAAGCCTTGAACAACTCTTCTAAATTATTCCCTAGAACACCTAGTAAATTTCTTGGCAATCAACCTCATCTTTTATTCTTAAAATTGCTAGAGAAATTTTGGTTCAAGCTTCGAAAACAAAATTACAGACCAAACACGGAAAAGTTATATTCTTCCATCATATCAACAGTTCATAAAAATAAGAAGCAGTAACTCAACCAATTTCAGCTTTCATTGTAAGAAGAACATAAGTAGTCCCCCTGTAACAGAATACAGTGAATACACAGCATTTCTGAACTACAACATTTTTTATGATTTTATTTTCACACACCTGTTTGGGAAAAATCTTACCTTACTACACTTTTGCTGCATGCTAACTCATTGACCAGAAAAGCAAGCACTGATGCTTTCTGAGCTGGAGAATGTGCCTGAAAAGCTTTTGTCTTCAAGCTCTCTGTCAGCTCTGTTTGCCCACAATGAGCCTCCATGAAAATCTGCAGAATCTCAGACACATTATCTCGATTGATACCAACATTCAGTAAGTGTTCCCCAAGAATAGTTTTAGCCTAAAAAGAACAAAGACATTTCAAACAGTCATCTTTTAAAAACACCATTTTCCTTTGTAGGCTATATTATTGTTCATAGAAGACAGTATGGGCTTGTTTGCATTTTTACATAGGTATATCAAACATGATTATTCTCTGAGACTATTCAAATGTAAATCTTAAATACAGAAACTAATTTGAATGCCTTCACCTCTAAGTTTTTAAAAACAGAGATAATATTAGCAATAATTAAATGGATTACATGTACAAAGGCATGGTCCAACTGAAAATTGATGAATACTGCTGTGTACAATGATACTATGAAGAACTCTAGAGTGGAAGAAAGCTGAAAAAGAAGGCCAGTAAGAAAGAGAATCATGAATGAATTGGGGTTTTGATGCAGTGACCTAGACAGCAGACCTTAGGGAAAGAAATAGCAAGATTCCCTGAGAATATAAGATGAGGATAAGAATGCAAAGGAATGGTTGGAAAGGAGTTAAAAGACATGGCCACAGATGTGACAGTGCTCTGCAAAAGATCCAAATAAAAATGGGATGTGTGTTTGTGTGAAGAGAAAATGCACGGAAATTTATCATGTCCAGAAAATGGGAAGGCTGATGGGACACAAAGTTTTGGAGTAACATTAGAACCATGACACTGAAGAAAAGAATTAAGAAAGTCAAAAGAAATCCATAGGACAGAAGTGTCAGAGACACATTATGAAGAATGCATTTGTATATACAGGGTGTTTACTATGGATTTTTTCTTTTTACCTTGTATCCTGTACCAAGTCCAGGATCGCACACAGCTGCAGAGACAAGTTTCACAAGCAAGTCCTGTACTTCTCCCATGCTGTCCCCTATGTTGAGCAAACCCTCTTGAAGAACACTCAGGGAGGGAACATCTATGGCCACATCAAAGCCAAGAACTTTACCGAAGTTACGCAGGAACTGCACTACCATGAGACAATCAGAAAACGTGCTTCCATCGAGAACAAGGCCTGGGATGCGAGGCAGCTCTGGGAAAGGCTGGAAAGCAAAGAAAAAACGTGAAAAATTTGGTAGCATATTTCAAAAGAAATTTTTTTATAACAGCTGGGAAAATTGATTGACACTTCCTTCTGACCTACAGCATAAAAATGCTGGAAGGTACAGACAACCTTTCTTCCAAGGGGTACCCTGCACCCCTTGCCCATTCAATGCTGAAACACATTTACGTGTTCACAAATTACACAAGGCAAGAGATTACAAAATACTTCCTTTTTGGCCAGGAGACACAGTAAAGATCTATTCTGAGCCAAATTACTCTAAAAGGTAGTGTAAAACTATTTAAGGGAAAAAGGGTGTGAGAGTCTGTCAGAATTTTGCCTCATCTGCCTCACAATCGTCCTTGGGAGACCACTGAAGAGAAGACCCCCCCCGTCTATATCTGGCTCTGAAGGAGAAAAGTCACACGCCACGGGCCCTGAGACCTGAAAGCTCAGTGTTGCTGTATGCTGAGAAGAGGGCACAGTGCCCCGTTTGCAACAATAGCAGCTCTGGAAGCTGTCCCACCTCTCGGCCTGGCTGGACTTCTCCTGAGTTTCGGGTGGTCTCCCACAGAAGACCCTCACCTGTTTCACAACCACCGTGACAGACAGACAGAGATGTGAGGAGCTTCTCCATCAAGGATTGAGACATGAAACTCCTGAAAGGTCCCTCTGCTCCTTCCAAGGACTGGGACTGACACCCCCATCCTGGGGGAGGTGTTTGGGGAGGCAAGCTGACCGAAGCGAGATGTTTGCCTGCAGGTTGTGACCACTGGACCGAGAACACAATGGCTCTCGCTTACTGCTGAGAACATGGACCACCTGTTACATCTATCAAGCTCATTTACTGCTGAGAACATGGACTACCTGTTACATCTGTTCCCTACTGTATCTGTTCCCCCCCCTCACAATTTTCAGTAATAAAATCCTCTGAGTTAGCTAGAGCCTTTGAGATCTCCCCAGCGTAGCAGGCGGACCCTCGACTGGACCAAAGGACTTCGTCTCTGTGTTGGTAGCTATATCCCCTCTCTCTCTCTCTTTCTCTCTCTTTTTCTCTCCCTTAATCCCTCTATCGCATTTTTGCTGTAGTTATTTCAATAAAACTGCATTTGTTCTGATTATCACTGCAAACCCCCTTGTACCATGCTGGTGTTTTGCACTCTGAGATCACTCCTACGAACCATCAGGTCACCTGTCCACTAGGACGGACCCTGACAAAGGGAAGGAACTTCTCTGGAACAGACTTTGAACCCACCCTTCGTCAAGTTCTTACGGACAAAAACTAAGAAGTTGGAAGACTGGGAGAGTAATTCTTTTTGAGCAACAGCTTGTAAGAGTTCTCTAGATAACTATATAGTGTCTGTGTACTGAGACATGATGCACATTCCTGGTGTAAAAATAGCTTGAGTAAAGAATTTTTAAAAAGCAATCACGCTTTTAGGAAGCAGGCCTCTTTTAAACAGAAAGCTTTTACATAAACATATGCTACTGTGTAGTGTTCTAGTATCTTGTATGTATTTCAAATAGCTCTCTAATTACCTCAATTAAAACTTGAATGCTTTGAGTGTGAGTGCAAGAAGAAAGTTATTCACAGAATTATAAAATACAAAAACAAGAAGCAACAAAGTAAGTCTATGTTGTTGTGACTACCTTCTGGTCTGCTAAGCACATATCTTCATTAGGCTTCTTTAGCTCCTTTGCCATTTCTAATTCCAATCTTCGCTGTTCCAGTTTACGTTCCTTATTTAATCTTTTTTCATCACGTTTCTCTTGCTTTAGCCGCTCTTTTTCCTTAAGAGAATTAAAAGGAAAAAAAATAAACCCCACATATTAAACTTACAAAGGAACAATCTAAGAATTTGAAGAACACTAGTTCTGTAACCTTAAGAATCGTCACATCAATTAAGGAAAGTTTTAAAGTAAAGGGGAGGGGAAAACTAGAACAAAATCACTGAATTTGTAAAGCAATCTAAGATTCACTTTTTTCTCTCCTGTCCACAGAGACACAGGTTTTACGTATGTTTGCAAAGAAAAACTCTTTTAAGTACCATTTAAGAAAGATGAGTGAGTGAAAATATGGCAAAGAATTGCCATGCAAGGCACCTGATTTTAAAGGCTCTGCTTACACCCCAGTATTGTTAATCTGCACCTGCACATGACTTTTTATTCTTCCTTTTGATTCTACATGGAGCATTATCAGACCACTATTGACAACTGTGGATAACCACTGTGAGTGCACAGAGATCGTGACTTCTACTACTACAGTCTTTAGTGGAAAGCAAGATCGAATTTCATGCTACACACACAGAACATATTTGGACCAGTAAATTTACACTGGCAGAAAAAAATGCACTGACATTCAGAACTACCCACCTGCCCACTTGCTGGCTACTCTACAGCTGTGTAAGCACCCTCTGCACTGCCAACGCAGGCCCCCTTTATCTACCCTGAGCTCATAAGAGACATATTGTATTGAAAAATCCCAATGGACAAAATGGTTTACTGCCTTTTATCTTAGCCTATGTCAATGCCCCAAGGTCAGCTGGCATTGCTTACAACTTATTTTTCCCAATTTGAAATGCTCTACAACAGAAGAAAACCAGAGATGTATATATGGATATTTATGTGTCCACACAGAAATTTATAGTTTTGATTAAAACTGAAAACTTTAGGCTGCACTACATTTCATAAATCTATTTAAATATTACTTCTACTGGTTGAAATAAACACTGCTCTATATCTGTTAGAGTAAAAATATAATTGGAGCACTGGATCAGACTAAATGACCATTTAGCCTGGTATCCAGACTTCCAACAGTGGAATGGGTGCTTGGGGTATCATCTTCCTCTATTTCCTTGTAATGAAGTATTATTCAGTTTTTCTTGGGTTTGGTCAGTTGCATTTATTGAAATTTGCAAATACATCCTAGAAAGAAGTTTTGACAATTTCCTTAACAACTACTTGCTATAATGATGGCTATCTTATTTCAACATCCTCATTATCTGCACTTTATTTACAAAAGTTTAAGGATATAGATTTAAAAAAAAAGGCTTAGGATACAGAAATACATAAATGTAAAACAAAAAGCAAATGAGTAATTGTGGGTTTTTTTGTATTTTACTTCTGTTTCTTCTCAAAAACATCCAGAACTCTCAAAACTGGGCCATCTGTGCCAATGTTCAACCATCTCTCTCCAAGTAAAAAAGTTTTTTAAGTTTGTACAGAATTTCCTGTATTCCAATTTGTGCCTAATGATTCTTGTCCTACTGCTGCAATGTACACAAATCAAATTATACATAATGTAAAAGGACATTGCTCTTCTACAGATGATTCCAGAACAAAATTATGAGAACTTCAAACTTTCAGAGTTAATACTCACTTCTGCTTTTTTACGTGCTTCCATGGCTTTCATAAGCATCATATGTTGTCTTCTCCGTTCTCGTTCCTATTGAAGCGAGTAATATTAGAGCAAAACTAAACCACATTTCAAATCAGTAAAAAAGCAGAGTAACAAATTTAGCATTAATAGACAAGTCACAGTAAATACTAAATATAGGACAAGAATGGCCAAGTCTGTGCATGTTTTAGTTCAGGTTTAGAAAGCAAATACAAGAACAATCAAAAGCAAAAAGGTAAAGCAATGAACATGGAGACAGTGTAAATAAGAAGCATACAGATTTACTTATGGTCAGTTGTGATGCTCCTTCATAAGCTGGCAGAACAAAAAGCATAATGGTTGGCTGGAACAGGTCAGTTACCTTACATCTGCTATGACGGAACTTGCAATTTCCTTCTTCAATAGCCAATTCAGCAGAAATTTTAAACTGGTCTTTTTCAAACATTGCAAGTATTAACATTTTTCTAACCAAGCAACAAATTAACATGATTACTTTTATCAGCTCTAGATCAGTTTTAATCAAGCCAGTAGTGGTGCATATACATATGCAACAACACTTGCATTTACTGATGCCTGTCCCTCAGTAAATTATGTCAGTAGCTTCAAATGCATTAAGGAGCAGTATTCTAAGGCACTAAGTACAGGGGATTTTCCTTCAGCTTAACAGCTGAAGAGCAAATCTTGGCCCCAGTAAAGGCTATAGGAATTTTATCATCTAATTTAGTGAGGCTAGGATTACGTTCTAATATTTCATTGTATATTTATAACATTATGTATTTACCACCAACTGAATGCTATTTCCTCAGTATCTTACAACGGGAAGACATCACCTTGATTTCTAAAACAGGTTAATTTAAATGGTATTTAAAATGTCTGGACTCATTCCCAGTGAATGGGACAAGGCTTGCAAAAATCATCCAAGTGACCATCCTAGTGATTTTGCATCAATCCCTAATTTTATATACTAGTCAAATTTTTACTGGGACATCAGTAACATAGATCCCTGGTTAAAAACCACATTTAGTTATTGCCACATTCAATTTATACACATGTTCAAGACATGTTTTTTTTTTCCTTAACAGACAAGACAAGCAGATGTATGCAATGCACTGTGCTGTAAAGCCATGCAGCAGTATGTAATATGACAGCAGCCAGTGCTACATTTTATGCATTGCTATGACAACCATATCACAACCAAATCACAATGCGGTGTTAGATGTACAAAAATAAACATACCCATACCATATCTAGTCTATGCCTCTCCAACTCCTGGTAGAAAGAGTTGGCACAACATTATGAAACAGAAATCACAAAGTCATAAAACCACTTTATAATCCCCCAAAAGACCCCAATACCAAAGCAAAGCAAAAAATCATAAGGCAAAAGAAAATCTGTGCAGGAATCAAACCCAGAAGTTTAAAAAGGGCATATTTTGAGGATTCTACCCCCCCCCCTTCCAACTGAAAGTAGTAGCTGACAATTGGCATTCTGTCTGTTTGGTCAACCAAACTTATACCAACCTGGTGCTTCAGAAGAACGGCCTGCTGCCTTCTCATCTCTTTCTCCTTCAACAGAAGAACAGAAGTGTATTTTTTTAAAACATCAATAAAAATTTACTTACCAAATTGCACAGTTCTGCCACACTAAAACAGCACATCTGACTTAAATTCTAACTTACAGAGAAGTATACACAGCATACATGACAGTAAGTCTGGGGAGTTGGGAGTTCCATGTTAAAACACACCTAGAATGCTGAAGCAGCAATAGTACTTATACACACACACACAGACACTGTATTTTCCAATATTTGTAAAAGAGTTCTGTAGTTTTGCATGCATTACAGCCTAGAAAATACTATGCTCGCCAAGAAACGTCATTTTTTGATACAGTGTGCTTAAAAGAATATTGTGAATAATGTTACTGCAGAACATTTTGTTATGCCAACCATGGTAATGGCATATAAAGTACTGTCTCTGTATATCTGTGTGTGTATGCCACAAACTCCTCTGCATATGCTTCATGGCTTTTTATAACGATACATACATGTCATTATTTGCTGTCTCTATGTACAGCTTCATTATCAATGAACAGCCTCCCAAGTCTATTGCTTTTATACATCTACATACATTATATATAATTATTTGAGTTATGTTACATCACACTGCAACATACAACAACACAGTTCTTGTTTTTGGAGCTCCACTAAACTAACCTTTATTCGTTTTTCCGCTTCCAATAATTTGGCATTTGCTGCTTCTTCCTTCTTTTTCTTTTTTGCCTGTGCATGCAAAACAGGTCACACAACAGCACAATCACAACTTGAAAATAATCTGACTAGAAGCAAAGTTATGTATCTTTAGAAGTTAAGAACATCATCACTTATTGTATACATTGCAAGAAATCTGTGATGCAGCCTTCACGATCAATCAATTCACATTTCAGTTACTTTAAAAAAAATTCAACCAAAATTTCAAACAAAAAATTTCAACCAAAATTTCCCACTCATACTGTTTCACTCAAAACTGGCTATCTTAAGAAAGCAGGTAAACACAGAAACGGCAAAGAGATTACTATTAATTTTTATGTCAATGGAGACTTGAAAATTAGCAATCTATCTTTGCTACTACACTAGCAAACCTGTAGAGTATACTCTAATACAGCCACACTATTTTTAAACCCACTGCATTTCATACAGAGCACACCCACAGCATTGTATTGTACATCCTACTAGTGCAAACTTTTTCTCTAACTAAGGAATTGTTCTGCTGTTAACTAATGCACACACAAGATTATTCTGACAGAAAACCGTGAGCCCAAGTGTGAATATTTGTAAGATTATGGATCACAGTTTATGTTGATCTTTAAAGAAAAATAATTTAAGACACATCTTTGAACTGGCCTTCAGAAATAAGGTCATTAGAGCTGCTATATTTAGTTGCGCTTCTAACTACATGTGTGACTACTAAAATACATTTTAGAATGGCAATGGAAAAATAACATTTGAGCCACTATTTGTACCTCCAAAATTTGCTGAGCTCGAAGTTCTTTCTCCATCCTAATTTGCTGAATTCTCTTAATTTTTTCCTACAAGGGTAAGAAAGTTACTTCTTTAAAAAATATATATAAAGGAAACGATACTTTTTTTAAAATACATATACTTTTACATACCATACTTTTTTATACATTTACTTTTACATTTTAAAAATGACAAAGTTTATACATACTTTTTTGTTATTGACTTTCAGCCTTTTAGTCATGTGCCCATATGTTGAGAAATTTTATTAGTATTACATGTCTGGTATAACCCTGAAGGAAACCACATCTAGTAATGCATGGGTGCTCATGTTTAAATTGTCAAAGTTTTTATTATTTTTTTAACACCTTCAAGAGGACCAGATTAATGACCAAGTAAGGAAACTAGAGTATTCCAATTCCAGCTGACAATGGTGAAGCTACTTAAGAATGAACAAAAGGGTGAGCTATGCCATGAAATACATGATGTTTTGAAGTGATCTCTTTGACCAAGAAATAGCAAGGTCTGTCCAAGCACTGAGGCTGTTTATGCCTCAGTTCTTACAGCCTCTTTCAGGCCATTATGGTCCCACAGGAGCACAGTGAGCTGAGCTCAGAAAAACCCAAAGCCCATGCTCTGAAGGCAGGAACACTCACCCACACGCAACCTGGCTAACATGCTCAGCTAAGTACATTTCAGTTGCTCCATATATTTGAAGCACTCAGGTAATTAATGCTAATTTTGGAAGCTTTAGTATGCAGTTTAGTGATAGAATTGTATACATGCTGTAACAAAAGAAGTAACTGGAACAGGAACCATGGGTACTACAACATATTTAAGCACGTTTCATCATGGTGAAAAAAAACTATCCAGTTATGCACTCCACAGATGGATGCTGGGCAACCATATACTAATATATCTTTCTTCATAAATTAATTCCTAAAATCTGAACCAAGTCTTATTGCATTGATTGAAAAATGCAATCATTGCAAACACGGGAATCATTTCACATTACCTGTGTTGCATAGGTTTGTCTATTAAATTAGCTATTAAAAATTCATTAGCACATTATTTGCGATTATCTCAAAAGAGCTGACTGAGACACACTGATTAGGAAGGACCATTTTGAAGAAAAGTGCATCCATCCAGCTGGACTTTCTGTAAAGTTTTAATAGCAAAACCCAGATCATAGAATAGCCCTGCAAGCTGGGGGAAGCCTGGACCAGAAGCTTGAAAAGAAGCTCAATGAGCTTCTCTGGAACTGCAGACGCTTTCCCAACAGCATGAGTAAAGCCCATCTGCACAGAATACATTGTTTTCTTGTGAGCTGGCCTTAGACTCTGAGAACAGGGATCACTCTAAAATTTTACTCTCTGGAGAACACAGTGACACATAGTGATACGTACAAGAAAGTATATACACAGTGATGTATATACTTTATTGAAAAGTAACCAAAACCAAGCTCCTAAGAAAAGACAGTCTATAATATTTAACAGTAAAAGAGCAATGACAGATGAGAAAGATGTACTAAGTTTTCCGACAAATAGAGCTGCTACATGAAGTCTAAACTCCAGTTTATGAGCTCTGTAAACTGTTGAGAAGTCCAACACCGTACAACCTTATCAATAAAATTAAGGGCAAAGATGTCCCTCCTGGGTGCCAGGGCACTGCTGACTTGACACCACACTTGCCATCAACCAGGGCTCCCAGATCCCTTCCTGCAGCTGCTCTTCAGCCCCTCATTTCCCAATTTATAAACACAACGAGGATTGTCATTAATGTATTTGAAAAAACTTATTTCTGTTGTCCCCCACAATTCTGGCAGCTTCAACTTCACTGAACTTTGACCACATGAATTTTCTCTCTACACTGGCAAGCAGCATCTCTGTCCTCTTCCCATGTCACTTACAGGAAAACCAATACTAGTACTTTTTCCAAGTGTTGGGATGCTGAAATCATATACAGACGTGGAGGGGATGTAGCATGTCCAGAGCAGAAGGGTAAGAGAGCTGTGGAAGGGGCTGGAGCACCAGGAACAGCTGAGGGAGCTGGGAAAGGGGCTCAGCTTGGAAAAAAGGAGGCTCAAGGGGGACCTTCTTGCTTTCTCAAACTCCCTGACAGGTGTGTGCAGCCAAGTGAGGGTCAGGCTCTGCTCCCTGGAACAAGGGACAGGACAAGAAGAAATGGCCTCACATAAAGGCAGGTTTAGTATTAGGTAACATTTCTTCATGGAAGAATGTTGGAAAGGGTTATCTAGCTCTGCCACAGGCTGCCCAGGGCAGCGGTGGAGTCACTGTCCCTAGAGGAATTTGAAAGATGTGTTGATGTGACACCTGGGGACATGGGTTAATGGTGGATTTAATGAAGTTCAGAATTTTAATATATTTACAATTTTAATACAGTAATTTTAATACACTGTGTGTGCTTTAAAACTAGATTTAAAACATACACTTTGTAATCAGTATTCTTAGTAATTTACTAGATATCTGAAATACACCTTATTGTGTGATAATGAAAATATAATTTAAAGAACTTATTTAGCAATTGCATAATTTACCTGTTGCTTCATTATCTTTATCTGCTCCTTTTGCTTTCGCTTTTCTTCAGCTGCCATAATAGCTAACAAACAAAAGCAAATAATATCAGCAGAACACGGCAAGAGACAGGTAATTTTTCATAAACACTTTCCAAAATAATCCCCTAGCATGCACAACCTTGCACAAGTAGTACTTACCTTGCTGTTTTTTTGCTTCTTTGGCAGCTCGTGCTTGTTCCTGCTTCTGAAGCTTTCTCAGTAGCTTTATTTGTGCTGCTTGCCTAGCTATTTCTGTTAGAAAAAGAAAATATTAAGTTCATAAAAACAGTGCTGTCCAACAATAAAGATACAATTCATGTTCCAGACATTTGTATGCTGTAAAGACAGCGCAAACAGAGGATTTGTTTTGCACACACTGGCGTCTACAAATTTTTTCTATGAACTACCATTAATGGCACATCATGTATCAGTAACCATGTGAACAGTGCAAATGATCATGGATACTTTCTATATAAAACAAATACTGGTTTCAGAGGAAAAAATTATTTAAGTGACAGAATCATACCAATTATGCTGGTTTTATTTTAAAAACATTTTCCTCTTTCTTCTAAAGCAGAAAACATTTTTTTCAAAACTACTAAATCAGCATTTTATTCAGAAAGCATTGAATTAGCTTTCCTTACAAGTCACCTCATGTAATTATGTAATAATTTCTTAATGAAGCAAGAACACAGTCACCTGGGCCACATGCCTCTTTCCTGTGTCTACCTAAAGTCAGCCATTCTTATGCTAATAAGTAACCTCCTGAAGCATTCTACGACCCTGTGATAGCATTTCTGGAATTTGAATTAAATGTTTATGGACACACTCATAGGAGACAACTGGAGTAGAGGACGGATGTTTTGGAGGATGAATTTAGCTTCCTTTTCAAAGGACTGAGGTCCAGGACCTGCACGCTTGAACTCCCCAAAACACTGTCAGCTTCCTGAGCAGTAACTACAGAGTAAGCTTTTAGACACGTCCTTACGTATGCACTTCCTTCTTTAAAACCTATACTGATAAACCATTTAGTGGTTTATCAAAAAGTCTTCAATAACAGCACGCAACAAATACCTAAAATAAAACGCTATATAATATCCTAGTGAGACAAATCACTCTCCCACAGGAAAAACATTAACCCTTTATATACTGATACCCTCT